AATAGAGCCTTACTTGCTAACAGAAATCAAAGTCAAGTTTTCCCCAAGATCCAGTGAGATATGTCTAAACTAACAGGTAATTGATTATAGGTAAGGCTGTTAAGAAAGCTTCTCTGGTCTACATTCAGAGCTCTTTTCTGGATACATGTGATCCTTTCATGCTTCAATAAGACCCTGATGTCTATGAGCCAAAATTCTGGACATAATATTTCAGAAATACTTTGCCTGTGAACACTTTAAAATTGCATCGGTGACAGAGGAGATTATAATTAAAGCATTTACTCCTGTCATTACAAACCAAACTAGAAAGCATCCAATAAAGTTCTCCAAAGGTAAAACTATGGGTTTGGCTACTCCTCAAAACCTTCAGCTCAGTTTTTTGCATACTTTGATGTCCCATCCAAACAGTTTGATATACTTATAACATTTGATTTATGTGCAAGAAAGCTTGATTATAAGAAAAATGTCCTAGGGTATTTCTTTCTTCATTAATTCTGACTCTATCTTAGGCTAACTGTTCTAGACAGACAGTGAATAAATGTGTTCTGAATGCCTTTTCTGTGTCAACAACCATTCCCAGCTACATTAACTATATTTCCTTATGTTCTGTCTTTTTCTTCTTTTTGTAGTGTGTGCTTTAGACCAGTCATTTAGTCCTTTACATATGTACTAACCCATTTAGTCCTCCCGTTTAATAAAGAATCCATTTAATAAAGAACCCATTTAATAAAGAAATTGAGGTACAAAAAAGATAAATAATTCCAGTTATTTAGGGTAATGAGGGTCATACACTAGTTAGTAAGTGGTGAGACCATGATCAGGCTAATGTTAGAACTTGAGTTCATCTTGTTGACCACTAAGCTGTGATCCCTCTAACTAAAAAGCTTCTTCACAGCAAAGGACACAATCAAGAGTGTGAAGAGAGGGCCTGCAGAATGGGAGAAAATCTTGGCCACCTGCACCTCAGATAGAGCATAAATTTCCACGATACAAAACGAACTTATTTTCTGTATTCTTGATCTCTGGCATTAGTGCCTTGTGAAAGGCACCCCTCTATGGGTTAACCTTCCCTAGAAATAAACATTTGCCTGCCTATAGGTCTTTCATGGGCCTCCAGAGACAAAGGTATATTCTTCCCATTAACATGGGTTTGCCTTTGTTCTTTTAAAACACTGATCCTTTCATCATTTTGTTAAGAAGCCTTTGACCACTTCCTGGGTGTGGCTTGAATTACAGTGTCAGCAGGGAGTAACTTAATCTTGGTCATCTGGGACAACTTTCTGATCCTCAAACTTCTTGTCTAGTAGAAGGTAAAAAGGAAATGTGACCTCATCTTATTCCTCCTGCTTTTGCTTTTCTCTTGCCTTATCTATCCCTCCATCCATGATACGTTCTAAGAAGGCAGGGACAACTGGGGTGGGGCTAGTATTAGACCAGAGTATTTTCCCACTTGTACCTGTCAGGGTGCTGCAGGAAGCATCTGGTTTGCACAAATGATTTTATTGAAGAGAGTTTATTAAATGGAATGTTTTCAGAGGTTCAAATAGACTTAAGGGAATCCATCAAGAATGGTGAGGACAAGCAACTGCAGCAACCCTAGGCCTGAAAAAGCAAGTGTGTATATGTTGGGGGGGGGGAGGTTGCTGGACCCTCTGAGAGTCATAACCATGAGAGAGAGGACACTAGAAAGTCGCATGGCACAAAAGAACATAATCACAGCAAAAACCCTGATCTGACAAGCGGGCACAGTGGGATAAGAAGGCTGGCCTGTCTTCTTTCCTGCCCCCTAATCTCTGGTAAGAATCACCCATCAGTCAAACCCAATAGGAAGTGAGAGGGCAAAGAAGTACTGTAGATGTCAGCCTCCCAGGGTGCAGGCAAGGCAAAGGGTGAAGAATTAAGGGGCAAAGAGTAATACATTGTCAACATTTGGAATTTAAAAAATGGTTCACATTTTATATAAAACAAACCACTTGGTACAACTTACTACTACTTTGCTTTTAGAATAATGAATTCTTCACATGCCAGAAGAAATGTAACAGTACCACCTGGAAGTTCAATAGCTCGATGGCATCTGGTACCTCATCTTGCCATGCATGGGGTTCAGATCCTGCTCCCCCTCAACATATCTCCTTACTGTATTGTTCATTTCTGCCAGGAGTAATAAAAATCTGTGTCAACATTACATGTTCTTAGGATCACAAATTTTTAGGAAGTCCATCTTGTTCAATACTCCCCACCATATACATCAGGAATCACTTAACATTGCTGACACATTATTTGGTCTGATTGAGTACTTTGATGACAAACTGCTTACTGTCTCTTGAGAGAAACTTCTACTATTGAACAACTCTGTTTTAAAAAGTTGTTAATACTAATTCACAACAATATTTATTGGAAGTTACTCTTTTTTTTTTTTTTTTTGGTACTGGGGATTGAACTAAGGGGCACTTAACCACTGAGCCACATCCCTAGCCCTATTTTATATTTTCTTTAGAGATAGGGTCTCACTGAGTTGCTTAGCGCCTCACTTTTGCTCAGGCTGGCTTTGAACTTGTGATCCTCCTGCCTCAAACTCTCGAGTGGCCGGGATCACAGACACGCACCACCATGCCTGGAGAAGAATTATTCTTTTAAATAACTGGTTTTTTTTTAATCAAAGATGAAGCAACTTTAAATTTTAAAGTGGAAATTCTCTGTCTAACTTATACCTCCAGGACAGTCCTATACCATAGTTTATCATTTGGACATGTCTTCTTCTCTTGAGGTGTTTTTTTAGGGGGTATGGAATCCTGGAGATTCTCATTTGCTACTACTGTGAAGGAAAATAAACTCAAGAGTTGATTGAGGTGATGAATTGGGGCACAAAGGGGGACAAGGATTAGATACTTTTAGGGAAAAAATGACTGTTGTAGAATTACTAGCTAGAGGTAGCAGATGAATTATAAACAGTAAATATAAACAGTGTAATATTAAACAGGAATGTTTGTAGCACTGAGGAACAAAAACTGTCTGAAACAACAGAACTGATTCAGTGATAGTTTCCATCCATTCCCACTCTCACCCTCCTGCACTTTGCTTGGATCCTGGGAAGATGTATGAGCTATATGGAGGCCCTCTGGCTTCTGGTTAAGTTCTTATTAGCCACTGGGGGATGTTTGAAATATATAATCCCTTTCACATTCTTCCTTCTTGGGGGTTCCTGTAAGTTGGCTGAATCTGTCCACTCAAGGCCTATGTCTGATTGCCCTCTCCATAGTTTTCTCTCTAGATTCTAGTAGATATCTTTGCTTTAAGCTTGGGGCACTGCATAATCCTTGTGGTTTCCTACACCATACCCACAGATGTAAATAATCCTGTTCCTTATTAAATTGCCCAACTGGAATGTGCCATCTGTTTCCTGATAGGACCCTGATTGACACACTAAGTCCCATTAATCGCCCAACACATGTTTATTGAGTAACTACTACATTCTAAGGAAGAATACAATGGTGATATTGGACAATTAATGCCTATAAGGGAAGTCTGGAAAGAGAAGACAACCACAGAAACAGATTATTATATTACATGTTGATAAATGATGCCCAGCATTGGATGGGGAGGTGGGTAGGGTGTAAGATAGTCAGTCATAGGGAGCCTCATGGGTTCTTGGTGGAGATAGGCTCAGGCAAATTGAGAGGCAAGAAGGTAAATAAGGAGTGATCAGGAACCTCAAGAGACATTGACAGCCAAGGACATCAGAGCCAGTCAGGGTTAGGCTGGCCTGATCAAAGAAAGACTTTACTGTGGGGAGGGGTCCTTTTCTTCCATTTTCTTATTCTCCCCACCAAGGGGAACTAAATGATACATGAAATTGGCAGCCTCTCACTCTTAGCCTTTTAATCTTGTCCCACTACCAGGATTTGACATTCCTACATTCTTTTTTTTTTTTTTCAAAACATTTATTTGTTTTTTTAGTTTTTGTCAGACACAACATCTTTATTTGTATGTGGTGCTGAGGATCGAACCCGGGCCGCACACATGCCAGGCAAACACGTTACCGCTTGAGCCACATCCCCAGCCCGACATTCCTACATTCTTGGCCTAAAACCCGTCTTTGGAAAATTACCTCCATACACATTCTGCACAGTTTAAGGTCATTAAGATTGCAACAAGACACTATAGTAAAATAACCTTGAAGATAAGTTACAGAGGAGGGTTAGAAGTGAACATTCCCCAAAACATTCTAGAAACCCTGGCAGTCAGACCCTTTTTCTCTGACAGCAACATGTAATACTGACATGTTCTTGCCCCATGAAGAAGGGGGAAGGTAATTTTAGAAACAGCAGAGAGTAAGCTTCAGGGCATCAAAGTGATTCCACTAAGAGGCTTTTGGTTCATATCGGTTTTGCAGGTCCCGGTTCAGGAAATAGAACCCAGGACCTTGTGCATGCTAAGCAAGTGCTCTAACCTTGGTGGGCACTTTTAAAATCCATTTTATCACACACCACAGGAAAGTTCAGGGTCCAGGAGGTGCCTGTTTTCCCCTCTTAAAAACAAGCGGTTATTTTTTGGTTGATATTTTGTTTTGTCCTTGTTTGGTTTGGTTTTGGTACCGAGGATTGAACCCAGGGACGTTTAGCCACTGAGCCACATCCCCCTGCTCTTTTTATTTTTATTTTTTAAATTTGGAGACAGGGTCTCTTGCTACGTTGCTTAGGCCCTCGCTAAACTTCTGAGGCTGACCTCGAACTTGCGAACCTCCCGCTGGGATTATAGGCGTGCACCACACACTACAAGTGGTTTGGCTGCTAGCCCACCACTGCCCAAACCATCCAAGATTCCTTCTTGACCTTTCCTTGGCATCAGAATTGGGACTCAAGAGACTTCATTTAAAAAGCACACGCATAACCGTATCGAACAGATCCCTCTCTTCTGATAACCCAAAGCCTGCGCCACGGCCTTCCCACAAATAAGAGACGCGGGAAGAGTTAAAAAGATATTTGGTGAGCCTGAATTCCTCTGAGCGCGCTCTCTGCACAAGTAACTGCATCAGTTACTCCAGCCCTCTGCGAACTCCGATGCTGGGCCAGTGGGCCGCCACTGAGCTGGGAGAGCTCTCGACGGCCGCGTGATCCCGGGGGTGGGGCCGGTTTCGGATCCAGTGCCAGCTGCCCACCCCCAGGAGGCCCCACAGCCCTGACAACCTCCGAGAAAGTCCCTCCCCGTAGGCGGAGACATCGCCAAGAAATCCCGACCCCGGGGCCTGCGGGGGCTAGTACCCAGAGGCTGCCCGGCGCGGACCGTGAAGTTGTGACAGCCATGGAGAGCTACAGAGGCTTCTTGGCGCTGCTGGTGTCGGCGCTACCGGTCGGCTTCCTCTCGGTGCTTTTCACCCTCATCTGGGTCCTCCACTACCGAGAGGGGCTCGGCTGGGACGGGAGCTCGCTCGAGTTCAACTGGCACCCGGTGCTCGCGGTGACAGGCTTTATCTTCATCCAGGGCATAGGTACTGGGCACCTTCTGGGGGGCGGTGGAGCGTGGCTGGCGAGAAGGAAGAGTGCGGGCTCCGGCGGGGCGCGGGCGGGGCCCGGCAAAGCGGCGATCGCGGCGCTGCAGCGGCGGCACCCGGGCGGGAGTGCGCACTGAGGACGCGTTGCGGGGGGGCGGCGGCGAGGAGCGCAGCTGGCCTGAGTCGGCCAACTCTGTGCAGTGGGTCTGGGTCGCACCGGGACGTCCCCGCGTCTGCAGGAACAAGAGTGGAGATATGCCCCAGCACCGCGCTTCCCTGCCACTTGCCCCTAAAAGACGCCTCTGTGGGCGGAGCCTGCGCAGTCAGGGGCGCGGAAACCCTCTAGCCAGAGGCCTTTTGCTGAACTTGTTAGAAGGCTGCAGAGTGAGAGAGGAAGGCTGCGGGGCAGAATGGAGGGGCGACAACTGGCCTCTCCCTAGCTTCCTTAGCTCTGCATGAAGGGGCTGAGCAGCTGGTAGCCGCGGCGAGTGGCGGAGCATCCTTTCAGGGTTTCACCCGGTTAAACTCAGTCGAGCCTTCGCTCAGTCTAAACACACTCAAAGGGGTGTTTCGCCGCCCTGCCCAGTCATTGGACCCAGCGTGTTTATGTGGCAGCCCACTGGCGAAAGTTCCCCTCCGGGGCTTCCTGTTGGGCGGTGGCCCCAAACCAGGGGTAGGCGAAGTCCAGAGAAAGCTTGCGGCTGCGTGGCTCCGAGGGATGCTCCCGCGCGCGACGTCCCTGGGGTTGGCCGTGTCGCTGCTTGCCCGCGGTGTGCCAGCTCCCGGCCTACTTCTTCCGGGATGAGGCTGGATGGGAGAGGGGTTCAGAGGGAGGCTCAGTCTATGGTGGTGTTTATTGACGTTAGGTAGGTCTCACCACCTACCGACAGTTGTCTTCAGCGGCTTGGCTGGAGGAACCTCTAGTTAGTGGCGCAAGCACCATTTATTTGTAACCACTTTCTCAAAAGTGAAATCAAGGCGGTGGCCTTGATAATACATTTAGCAAATTGTAGAAATTGGTGGGCTGGAGTTATGTTGCAGAAAATTATCGTGAGGAATGGACTGAATTGGGAAAGAGATGCCCACCAGCGGGAACCTTCTACCTGGCCCCTGGGCAGGCTGCCTTTTCTTCACCAATATTTAATTCCCCACAAACAAGTGAAGAAAAAAGCGCTGGCCTCATTTCTAAAGAGACGTTTTTGTTTTATTTTTCCTTTTTAAACTTGTGCTACAACTTTGAGCAAGTTCTCAAATCGGGGTGTAGTGGACGGTGTTACTAATGCTCAGCCTTTGGAGGCTTCCCTGGTATGCTCCTCAGGGTGTGAGCGTCACTGGTCATCCGAGTTATTTTGTTGCATAATTCCCAGATGTTTCGCTACTGCACTAAAAGGAGGGGAAAAAATACTCAAATTCCAAAGTTGATGTCACCAGTACACTTTCCTTCACGGTGGAGCCTTTTAGTTTGACCAGGGCGGTGGACACATTCTGTTTCCTCAAAGTGGTAGGAACAGTCTTTTCATCTCTTCCCTCCACCTCTGAAAGCAGCCCCTAAAACCGAGAAGCTCTTCAAAGGCTTGAAGTGTGTTCTAATAATTGAGGTAAGGGGAACACAGGTGATAGTGCTTGTTGCCTGACTTCCCACAGAGGACACAGTCAAAACATTTGAATTTTGTGTGTCCACTAAATGCATTATATGAATAAACTGAAGGACTGAGGAGTTAAGTAACATACCCATGGAAGTAGCCTAAGTCCTTTCAATGGCCTAACTTTCAAGGAGTTCTCTGCTTTTAGGGCAATGAACTTATTCTTTGCAGTCTTCTCTTCAGAGAAGTCAAAAGCTTTACTTAAAATACATTTTGAAACTCTTTATTCACATTATAATCCATTACAGGGTTTGTGTAAAAGATTTTCTGATTTCTCTAAATTGTGGATTTCTCTTAATCTGTTTATACTTCCTTTGGGGCAAAAATGTGTAAACCGATATTGGGGGATTTTTCATGTGTTGCTGTTATGCAAACCTCATTTTTTTTAGGTTTAGTCACTCTCTTCTGTGTTAATATTTCAATGTTTGTCTTTGTCAACATTACCCACCCTGTTTATTGTCTGGATCCTGAATTTGCAAAGCGTTTTAATCATGTAGTACATGTAACTGACATGAACATAAACTTTTTCATATATGTAGACCCCATACATAATTCTCCCTGGTTCTCCTGTATCTTGGCTCACACATACTCAGCCAAGCAGTAGGAAGTGTCCAGGGGAAGAGAAGTAAATACAGAAGCTACTTGGTTTATTATGGAGTTACATCTCCAATAAACCTATCATATGTTGAAAATAGTATAACTTGAAAATGCATATTCCTAATCTACTCTGGGTTAGCAACACTGTACAATGCTCTGTAGAGCATTGAATGTTATGATGGTGTAGCTAACTGGGAGCTGTGGCTCATTGCCACTGCTCACCATCTCAAGAGTATAATCATATGGCTAGCCTGGGAAGAGATCAGAATTCAAAATCTGAAGCACAGTTCTACTGAATGCACATGGCTTTGGTACCACTGTAAAGTCAAACAACCGTTAAGTCAAACCATCCTAAGTCAGACAGTCTGTAGTTGACTTTATTGACGGTGAGGCACACACATGTTACAGACTATCCATGTTATACTAGGCTTCTTTACTGTATGTTATTGCTTTAGGGAGGAAACTTTAAGGCTATGAGATTTTAGATCTCTAATAATGAACATGATGTAATAGAACACTTAAATAATACACAAATATTTGGAGATCAGGATGGGAAAGCTAACATATAGCTATTACTCTAAGCATGGAGTAATTTACAAATACAGTATACAAACAGTAAACAGAATTTGAAACTATGTTAAGAACAAATATGGGTCTGTAATACTTTAAGCCTTGAAGAAAGTAAGACTAATATAGAAGTTGAAAAATAAAATCTCCCCCACCCCCATGCACACACACAATCAAGTATACTCCAAATATATTTTGGAAAATATATGTATTCTAAATTAAAGTATAGCAGATTATGGAAAATGTAAAACAACAAAAAAATTTTTTTGAAATGAAGTCTTGCTTGCCTTTAGTTCCTGGGCTCAAGTGATCCGCTGCCTCAGCCTCCCATGTAGCTGGGATTACAGGCACATGCCACTGTGCCCTGCTAAACAAAATCTTAAATAAGAGAAATCTACCTAACAGTCTCTGACACTAATGAGGAAGAATTTAGAAGAGGCTTTGTGCTTCTCTAAAAGCAATGATTCCCATGAAATTAAGTATATTGCCAGGAAATCAGAGAAACAACCCTTGTAAAGAAGGCCGCAGAAAAGACTGCAATGAATAAATGCTCTCAAAGTAGCATTTGGTCTTTTAAAAGGTTCAACAAGGTGGAATGTGTTCTTTAGTAAAAGGTAGAAAATTCAGGTGTCTACTTTAGCCGAAGAAGTTTTAGCAATTCTATACTTGTACTTTCCCATGTGTGGAACTCCTTTTGTGGTGTAAAATAAAGGAAGGGAAATTGAATAGTTTAATGATCTCAAGTTGGTTTTGTGAGATATAATATAACTACATTTAAGTAACATTTAAAAGACTAACAGAAATCAAGAGCAGTTCTTAAAAGGAAATTAGGATATCCTATTAATCTATGTAAAAGTGACTAAATTTCAAGATCAATTAAATATATTTGAAAAGCCTCTTGCAAATAAGATATTTGAGGAAGTGCCCCAAACATCTATTCCAAACTAGCCAGGGGAAAAACAGGCTTCTATAACAAAACCTATCAGTCTTAGAGAAAGGAGGGTTTTTTCAAAACAAAGACATAATTGGAAGCAACTCAGAACACATTTTTTTGTTATAAATAAATGCACTAACTAGTAAAAATGTTTTAGATATGCTTATTTTGTTCACTGCTCAATCTCCAGCACCTAGAACTGACACATGATAGGCCAATAAATAGTTGTTGAATGAATAAATAATTATTTCTGCACCATAGTTAAATTGCTAATAACAAAATCCAGTTTTGCAGCTACTGAGTTGTAACGATAACAACAACATCTGAACTAAAAGTGCCTTTTCTGTCCCCTAGTGGTTATCCTGTTCAACAATTTAGAAACACTGCTTAGTCAACTTCAGGGAAGACTGGACATGCAGTTGTACTGGAAAGGCATCTTTATTCTAAGCTACAGAGCTCATTAGTTCATTACTGCCTAGTATCTTCTGTTCCTCCTCTTGCCTACCTAAGGACAGCACTTAATTCTCCCTCTTTTCTTCTGCATCATTAAGTTTCTCACCCCATCCCTTAGATTATTTCTAATATGTTATAGTTCATGTCATCTTAATCTCTCTCTCTCCCCACCCATCTATCTCTGTCTCTCTCCCCTGTATCCCTCCCAAGCGACCGCCTCAATTTTCTTCCGGCCTTACTGTAGAACATTTTGAAATATGAGTCTGTATCTATAGTCTCTAATTCTTTTCCTCTGTCCTCTCTTGAACCTTCTCTAATCAGGCTCTCTTGTTCTGCTCCACAAAATTGTTCTTGAAGTAATAATCAATTGCTTCCACATTGCTTATACCAGTGGTCAATTCTCAGAACCTCCTGTTGCCTGACTGGAAGCTTGTATTTGACATAACTGACCCCTCATTCCTCTCTTCCTTCACTTGGTGGATTGAGCAGCTTCTAGGATACCCATCTCCTTGGCTCTTCTCTCTTTCTTGGCCACACCTCCTCTATCTCCTTTGCAGGTTTCTCCCCATCTCCCTGGTTATTTCAGGTTAGAGCTCCCAGGGCTCATTCTTTTAAGTACTTCAGTTTTCCTGCATTCCTTCCTGTGGTGGTCTCACCCACCTTCCAGGCTTTAAGTGCCATCTATACTTAAAAGCTCTCCCATCTTTATATACTCACCCCATACTCTCCCCTGAATTCTAGAACCAGATATTCATCTGCCTATACAAACTCTCTATTTGGATGTCAAAGAGACATGTCCAAAT